ATGCCGTTTAAACTAAACTCGTGCAGGTCTGAGCCAAAAGGTATTACACATAAGCGTCCTCCGCGAAAACGTATATTTTTTAGGCTAAAACGTTTACCTTAGGTCAAATCTGAGATAATCAATAAGAGAGAGTATAAAAAGAGCTATCGAATATGCGCTTAGCTGCTGCGCTGTAGCTCCATCTCTTTCTGAATCCTGACTTATGCGCCGCTTTGTCGAAAAATGTCAACATCGGCGAAATTTGATTTTCGGTTGTCTCTGGCGACCTGACCTTCGACCAGTTCGACCTAACCTTAAAAATAATCTAAGTAGTTCTGTAATAGTTTTTGACGCTCTTTCGAACGCCGCCTACTGCGTGTCTCGACGTGGCCCACAAGCTGAGTTAGTAATGGGTGTTCAAACACCCCCAGCGGCCAGCAGGTTCAATTAAAAAACGCTTACGCTGGGGGCGGCACCGCACTGCTAGACGCTGGCGGCATAACAATAATGGGCGGCACTGCAATGAGGGGCACCACTTGCATTGAGTGGTGGCATTGTACGGTGAAGGGGCAGCGTCGCATTGAGGCCGGCGGTATCGCAACGAAGGGTGGCACTAAGGAGGCTGCCTTATAAGAAACGCTTGGCACATCCTAGCCCAGCTCGGCGCCGCCTGGCTGCTGCATCTTGAAAACGGCCCTTGGTGTCGATGAGAAAGACCCATTGTCAAATAATTTCTTGGATGGGGTCACTGCTGCCTTCAGTAGGGCGTCGGACGCTCTGGAGGGGCGCCATTGATCTCGGATGGTCCGACTGGTATTTTCAGAGGGGCACCAGACACCAGTGGTTTCAGAGGGGCGCCATTGATCAAGGATGGGCCGACTGAAGTTCCGGTTCAGGGGGCGGCAGTGGCTCTTGAGGGGCGCCAGCGACCTCGGATTGATGGGGCGACTGTGATCTTTAGAACGGTGTTGAGGGGCGCCATTGGGCATTGATGGGGCCACTGTTGCCTTCAGCAGGGCGCCGGACGCTCTGGAGGAGCGCCTTGAGCTTGGGTGGGGCGACTGTAGTCTCAAGGGGCGGTGTCTCGGACGGGGCGAATGTGATTTTCAGTGGGGCGCCGGGTACTCTAGAAGGGCGCCACTGGTTTCAGAGGGTTGCCATCGATCCTAAGATGGTGCAGCTGCAATCTCCGTTTAGATGGGCGCCAGTGACTTTTGAGGGGCGCCAGCGACCTCGGATGAGGACGACTGTGATCTTCAAAAGCGCGCCTGACGCTCTGGAGGGGCGTTATTGGGCTTGAATGGGGCGACTTTAGTCTCAAGCGGAACGAATTCAGTCTCAAGGGGGGCGCTAGTGGCTCTTGAGGGGGTTATTGATCTCGGATAGGGTGATTGTGATCTTGAGAAGAATGCGGTTGCTTTAGAGGGGCGCCAGTGGTTTCAGGGTGCGCCATCGATCTTGGATGGGCCGATTGGGGCACCTGTGAGCTTCAGAGGGGCGCCGGGAACTCTAGAGGCGCGCCATATACCTTTAATGGGGCGACTGTTCCGTTCAAGTGTATGCCAGCGTCTCTTCAGGGGCGCCATCGAGCTTGGGGGGTTCGGAATATTCTGGTTTCCGGAGAGGCGCCCTTTAACATTGGGGGCTAAGGTTCTATTGCGGGTGCCCTGGAGAACATTGGGGTGTGCAGGCACCCCCCAAAGAGATATTGAGCTCGATCCCTGCCGGCATATCATTTTTAATTCATGTTCCCTCTGTAAAACGGCATCAGCCTAGTCGGCGCTAATTGGGGCGCCATCTGGGCGGCTGGGCAGAAAGGGGGGCATGGCCCCCATGGCCCCCTCCCCTGTCTACGCCACTGTTGGTTGCCTAAGAACACGTTTTGGGCAATCAGTCTCAGTCCATTCTTCGGCAACTACGGTGCAAGGCCGATACTGTAGAAACTTGCGTTTTGTACTCTTGACCTGACCTCTGACCTACTTAAGCAAAAAATGGCTCTTAAGATCCGCCTTGTGGAGAGCTTTCGATTGCCGTTTTCCCCGTCTTTCTACGACCATCGGTTCGGAAGTTAGACAGGGAGGGCATTCCACGATAGATCGTACCACTTTTTTCCAATTTGACACCCTCATCTCTCGGAATTTGACGAGAATTGGTCTCAGGGGTGATCAGGGGCTCTGAATCCACCTATAACAATTTCAGGCTTATCAGATAAGTATTTTTTTTAGTTATGGTGTATAACATTTTTTGGATCTTGCTTTGCAGCGCTAAGTTTGGCGGGCTGTAACTCTAAGACGGATTATGCAAATGCCAAATGTCATATAACATTGAACTTGCAATGAAACAGAGATTAATATGTATTTTTGAAATTTCGAAAAATACTCTATTTTTATGTATGACATATCGAGTTTTCTTTCATTTGTATTTTTTGGACTTTGGGACCAAATTTTTTTGAATTTTTATTTCTTTAAAAAAATATTTGGCTCATTGTTAAGAAGTATGCAAAACATTAGGAAGGTGTTCTTTCTATAAATGTATTTATTTTACGTCACGATAACGGTTTCGAATAGTGATTTCGGGAGGGGAGCTTACAAATGGCGTGGTAAAGCTGCCTAGTGACATCACGGGTTACTGAAATTTCAATTCAAGTCTGAGTCATCTGAAAAAAGTGAAAAGAGGGTTCATTCAACCCTCTTTCCTATAAGCGCAAGGGTGAAAAGGCTGTTTGGTTCTGACATTGTTTTGGACGCCAGTGACCATAGCTGTCCGAGATGAAAGTTACAGGACGCATACATGGTGTCCTCCAGAGGTCTCACAACTTGTATATCTGGGAATTTTTCAAGGTTACATGAGGTCAGGTCGGTCACGTGACATCACTGTTATAAATCAATGGGAAATATAAAAACTGTTATTTTGGCGCCGAGAATGATCTAAAACTATCCCACGTACATGGTATCGTGATTTCATGCACTCCTTGCAAAGTCCAATGCTTTACTTTTGCATTGTTAACCTTGCGTGACGTCATTTATGACGTCACTAGGGTCGTACGAGTTTTTCGTCAATAACTCCCGATCAAATCGAGCTAGAGAGTCGGGAAAGCCACCAATGGACTCGGGAAGACCTTCCCAATCGAATGATATGCCATATGATACCCTTTGCCCAGCTTCGTGACCTGAGGGGCTCTGACCTGACCTTGACCCGAGGTCAACTACTTAAGTTGACCGCACCCTAGCAAAAAGTATACCATTCGATGCACCTGAGCTAGGCGAAAACAATGATGCCAAAATCGCGGCTCTGCGGCCATTTTTTACGAAGTGATTTACTAAAAACCGAACCCGTAACTTCAGTCACGTGACCTGACCTCAGACGCTACCGGTTAAGCTGAGACCTTAAAATCGGGTACCAATCGCTGCGACTTGTAACGGCACACACGCTCGTTTTTTTCCGCGAGGCTCTAGCTCTATTAGAAGCGAAACGGCGCGCTGGGGTCGTATCAACCCCTCCGAAACCCATTTTGTTTGCGGGAAAATGTGGAACTTATAGAAAGAACACCTTTCTAATTTTTTGCATATCGATTTGCAATGACATGAAGATTATTTTGAAAAAATAAAAATGTGAAAAATTTTGGTCCCAAAAGTCATTAGAGGCAAATGAAAAAAGATTAAGGTTTTTGCTCAACAATGAAATTTTTTCTTTGGAATTTTTATATAGTAATATTAATTTTTGATTCTTCGCAAGCTTAGTGTTGTTTACTTTTTGTTGGCTGCTTAACCCGTTCTTGAGTTATAGGCCATCAAACTCACCGTTACATACCGAAGTTAAAAAAATGTAATGCAATATAACTCAAAAAGTTTTGATCTGAGCAATATAACTCAAAAAGTTTTGATCTGAGAAGTCTGATATTTTGCCAGGCGTCTTTGGGGCCTATGATTACCCCTAGGACCGATTTTCATTAAAATCTGAGGGATGAGGGTGACGGGCCTGGTACGATCTATCGTGGAATGCCCCAGGGGGCAGAATCTGCCCCCCCCCCCCCCAGCAGGGCGTGTATGGCTGAATAGCCCAGCGGGGCGCCGGTTAAGTCGCAGATGATATACCCAATATGCCATGCATTTTTGTTATAATAACTATAGCTGCGTGAAACGCATAGGAACTTCGAAAACTCACTAGAAAGTGAATCGTTACTCCGCGGTCTCCCCGGGTGGTTCGCGGATCTCGGCAACTCTTCAGGGAGTTCGCGGTTATCCTGAAGAGTAGGTACCTATTGTTCATCCGCGGATCCCCGCTCATTTATCTGCGAACATACTAGACTTGATGTTCATCCTCGGAGCCACTAGAGACTTCGCGGATTCCCTAGGAAATCCGCGGATCCACAGATTTCGCAAACTCACTCTAACATCGGCACAGCTGCGCTGTAGTGAGCGGAATAACCACCGGAGGACTCTCTGCCACCTCTCTTGGTTAATCGTCACCGAATTCCCGCTGTCGTCCTCAGGACCTCGAAGGACAGGGGGCCAAGTATGCATCCCCTGTGCGCACATTATACTTTTTCTGGCGTTTTGCCGCTTGCCGCTATGAATCAGTACAGAGATAGTGTGCGATAATAGTTTTCTTAGGGCCGAAAACTGAGCAACATGTATGTTTTGTTCTAGTAACGGACCCTCTCTTTGAGTTGAACCTTAACCACTTCAGTTTTCTTCTCACTACTGCTCGGTGAATTCATTATCAAAAATGATTTAAGTATGCAGCAAGATAGTTTTATGAATGTAGGCTTGCATGTGCCACAATTTAATCATTCGGATTCTTACTCCTCGAGGTCGAGATATTTCAATTTTAAATCATGAAGTTACTTTCGGGAGTGTTTCTGTGTTTGTGTGGGCCCTATTTGTTGTGCGCCGTGAGCGGGCGGGGGTGGTGGTGCGTTGGCCGGTAGTGGTGGTATGTTGTTGGTCGGTGGCTAGTAGTGGTGGTATCGGTGGCCGGCCGGCTCACTCGCGCGACCCGCGCCTCCCCGCCGCCGCCAGGAGCGGATGCCGGCACCGGAGCGGCCGGCGGCCGGCGCGTTCGTGCTGGCGCCGACACCTGCCCAGCTGGGTCGGGCGCCCCTGCAGCGGCGGCTGGGCTCCAGCGGCAGCGCCGGCGAGCCGCCGCCGGCGACGGCCGCGGCGCGTCGTCCGTCGGCCGGCGCGTCCACGCCGGCGGCCACAGCCACCTCCGGCGCCCAGCCGACAGCGACGTCAGCCGCCGCCGCCGCTCGGCGCAGCCCCGACCACATGGACAAGTGAGAAGGGCTGCACTGGCCCGGGGGAGGGCAGTGTGTTCGGGCTCAGTAGAGGACGGCTGTAAATTAACAGATAATGGCAAGGCTTTAGCGGCTGCCGGAAACTCGTGGGTGACCTTGGCTTGAAAATGACCACAAATGGTCATTTTTCTGCCGGTAAAACTGACCTCTGCGCCTTTTTCACATGTGTTTAATGACCACCCCACCTTTTAACACTAGTTTTTAGTTGAGATATCCAAATAGGGGTCCCTGGCTCGCCATTACCGGTCTGGGCACTGTCAACACCGAAAAATGCTTAAGTTCGGAGATATTTGATTTCAAGGCTGCAGTTTTAAGATTCTACGGGGCTAATGCATTTTAATGTCCCCAATTAGAATTTGTGACATCAGCGCATGTCTGGCGATTTTTGAATCTAATGCTAAAACCATGATAAAAGATAACTGTTGCTGTGGCGGTATATCCTGTTTACGCGCAACATCTGCCACACATTAAAGATACCAAATTATTGCTTCCAAATGACGTCATAGGAACAGCGGAGGCCCCACAAAGTAAACAAAAGTAAAAGTATAATATCTCAAAAACCGTTGCATATTTTCTCGGTGAAATTTGGTACATATTCAGTTTTGCTCTTACTGAACCACGGTACACCACTTTTATGCTAATTCATTGACAATTTTGAAGGTGGGAGGGTCCCTTTAATGTTAACTTGGATTAAAACTCTGCCACAGACAACGTAGGGGAGACCCTTGAGGTATGGGCCGGTTTTGTGAAATGGTAATTTTCTTGCTAGATCTGGTTTTTCACTCTGTGTACGTGATATCGCTTTTCGCCTGTAAAGTTGCCTGATATTAGGCACCTGGGATCAGCTATTTTGTCTCGAGATAACTTTTAATAAATCATGCGCTTTTTCGATCCATCAAAATACACCGGGAGGTACGGGCTATGGCCCGGGAGGCATGGGTTGGTGTCATGTTTCATATTCTTTTCTCGACATTGAGAACAACACTCGTAGCTGGGATCTACCTTGAGCTATCTTAGGAGCCCAATCTTATAAAATACCGCATAAGCTGCCAACAAGCTATTTCATGGAGGTTACTTGGGCACATATTTATTATAGTTAACTCAATCATGTTCCATGAAATAAGACAATATTTTTATGTTCAAATGCAATCTGTAGTTAAATTTTCGATCATGCGCAACAAAAACAAAACTTATTGAAGAGGACATTCAAAGAAAGCGTCATTTTATTGATTTAGGATCACTGGAGGTGGGTGGCCCGAACGTCCCGGTTAGGACGCCAGAATGCGCGTAGCATCTCAGCTCATAATCTTGGAAGAAAGCTTCAAATTGATTATCCAGTCTTAACTTGCATGCATTAACCTTTATGTTAGCGATGGTGTGACATAATAAAACGAGCCTGGTTCACACTGATAACGAATTTACTTAATGTACCGTATTTTACTCGAAGAGGGCAAAAACACTTTATCACCGCTCATTGACAAAGAAGACTGAGGAAGATTTTGGAAATCACGTGGGCTGCATAACTAAATGGCTGCTACCAGTTTACGTGGTCAAATGTGTAAAAATACGCAACACTTCTTCAAAACTGCGATGGCCCATACTTCCCGGGGGCCATATGTACCTCCCGGGTCTCCCCTACTCTATATCAGTAATACAGTAGTCTATGATCCTAATGGGGCGCCGATAGTTAGTTTTTACGCATATTTATGGGTACTGCATAGGCCTACGTGTACGGATGTGGGTATGCAGCCGTCGGTGTATAGCCGTCGGTCCCGGAAGGCTGCTCTCGGTCAGCGCTGCGCTCACTGTTGCCGCCGCCTCCGGTTGTTGTGGCAGGGTGCTGGAGCAGGTGAATTTCTCTGAGAAGTTTACCCGGCTGCCGCAGTTTCGTCCCGGCGAGATACCTTCTCCTTCGGCGCTGAGTCCGCGCGTGACGCCCTCGCAGCGACGACGCCGTAAGTCGCCACTACCAACCTGTGACTGGCGGCCGTAAGTCGCCACTAGCCGTTTTCACGACGGGCTATCCGGCGAATGCACCCGATTTGACCAAATCTGCACCTAATTTCTTTTACAGCAAATATCTTCATGCTATGAATTTATTTCAGTGTTTTAATCGATGATGCTCTCTGATAATATGACAAAGCAGGCATATAAGCAATTAGTGCAACCCTAGCTGATTGCTGCTAAGAGACACACCGAACCTGATTTGACTAAATCTGCACCTAATCTGTACCAGATGTGCACCAAATGTGTACCAGATGGCCGTCGTGAAAACGGCTACTACCAACCTGTGACTGGCGGCCGTAAGTCGCCACTACCAACCTGTGACTGGCGGCTCGGTGACCGGCCGCTACTGCACGCCCTAATCAGATCTTGGGCAGTACTGGCGTGTACCATATAGTACATATAGTCCGATTTTTAAGCCTGTCTTATCGTTTAAAGCGCTCTTATGAAAAGTTCACGTGAAACCTCAATACTTTAACACTGGCCAGCTGCAAATTTCGTCTTAATCTTGATGTTTCTTTCGACTCTTTTCATTGCAATACTCGTGCCTTACTTATCTGTGTGCACTTAAAGTGATCAGGCAGATTTCAAAATCCGACTATAGTGATGTGGGGTACTGGGGGTGGGGAGGGGTACTTGTTGTCGTTGTTGTTGTTGTTGTTGTTGTTGTTGTTGTTGTTGTTGTTGTTGTTGTTGTTGTTGTTGTTGTTGTTGTTATATCTCCCCCAGGGCCGGCCTGTAGCCCCATGAGGGGCTCCTGTGGTGGGCCGCGGAGGTAGCCACCGGCCACGGCGCCACCCCCCTCTCCCCCCTCCCCCCCCCCCCAGCTGCTGGGGTCGAATAGGAATGTTGCCCGTGAGTCGCAGGCGGGCACCGGCCAGGCACGGACACCTGAGCGGCTCGTGCTCGGGGGTATCGGCGCCCTCCCTGCAGACGAGGCAGCGGGGTGCGCGGGGCAGGCGTTGCAGTTGCACTGCTTGTAGGTCGCGGTGGGGCGCCGTCTGATCCTTGCAGTTGCACTGCTGGTAGGTCGCGGTGGGGCGCCGTCTGATCCTTGCAGTTGCACTGCTGGTAGGTCGCGGTGGGGCGCCGTCTGATCCTTGCAGTTGCACTGCTGGTAGGTCGCGGTGGGGCGCCGTCTGATCCTTGCAGTTGCACTGCTGGTAGGTCGCGGTGGGGCGCCGTCCGATCCGGTGCAGGTACTGCTCCGAATGGCCCCCCAGTGCTCGACCCGCAGCTGGTGTACGTTGATGTAGAGGGGTACTGGGTGGTGGTGGGGAGGGGGGGGAGGCGGGTTCTGGGGTGTTATATTTTGCGGTGTACTACCTGTTAACGCCAGACCCCTTGAGACCCTAATTTTTCGCGATTGTTTTTAAATGCGTGGAATAATTTCAACCATATTTAGGAAGCAGCTGTTTCAAGACCTGCCGAAACTTTTCTTCATATACATTTTGTTGTCACTTGAATATTTGTGGCACTTGTCATTGGCTCGTAATGTTACCTGTTTTTCCATTCTGGATAGAGGCTTTCTACGTCATATGACATTATGCTCCGCCCACGACAGCGGCATTGACCTGTGCCCATCGGCGACCTCTGTACAAACGACACCCCTGCCATCTGTAAAGGACTATGAATTTCGCTGACGCTTCACGTGCTATGAATCAATTGCAGCAGACGGTCAAGTAAATGTTAGGCTCTTGTTGACTCTTGTATATAGGACCAAGAGGACCATCACTCCTCAACCTACTACTCACACGTGCTTCGAACAAACGTTAACGATTCCTGACAAATACGATTTTCGATATAGGGTATCTGTTTGAAATACGAGCGAACCTTATGATGTGAAGCGACGGTTGCTAAGTGAGTCCGGGCTAAGCTATTACGTTCGGTGTATTGGCATTGGCTGGCCTCGACCCCTGACCCCTTCCTGGGCTCTTCTGAAAGACGCCCTAGAAAGAACAGAGGGAGACAAAAAAAAAAACAATGGCTGCGCGCACTCCGTCGCTCGGCGTCCTAACGGAAAAGGCCGCATGGGCAGCGTTGCCTCGAGACCAACATAAGTTGTATGTCGGACTTACTTACGTGCAGTTGTGGTAGCCGTTGTGGTTCCAGTGCCTGCGCCCACGCTGTAAGTTGCTAAAATACATTCATGGTAGAAATCAACGCTGTTACAATATATCGCCCACGTTCTAAAATCCATATATCTGCGCTAGAGGTGGCAAAATGTGGACCCGGGGACCCGGTCTATGGACCCGGTCTGGACCCGGACGGGTCCAGACCGGGTCCCCCAAAATATTTGGCCGGGTCCAACCGGGTCCTATCATTCCCCTGTACTTTATGGTAAATGTTAATATCTTTTATGCTTTGGCAAACATAGTTGATGCAGTTTCCAGTCCATAAGTCCCAATTCCACTTCTGAATTTCAACATTCCTGCAGAGTGGGCTACCTATTCTGCAGCATACTGGTCAGTCTTGCTTCAATTTCTTATCTTGTCACCTACAACAAAATAAACAAGTTCACTTCAAAGTGCTGGAAATGCAGAAAAAAATTCACCAAATGTTTGTACGCATCACTTCCATTCAGTTTGCTGTACAACACCTAACAATATTTTGGGCTGTAGAAATCAAACACGAATGACATATGCAGGTAAGTAGGTATGATTGAAATCCATTTATAAATGGACACAAATCTAATTGAAGCAAGGCTGACCAGTGGCATTCTTACCTGCCTTTTCAAAGACATTGACATACCAAAGTCACTATGCCCACCAGAAATTGGAGTTCATGTTTGATATTCAAAAGCATTTCATAACTCAAACAGCCTTGAAATTGTTCCTATCACGGCCAGAAGACAACTCATAAACCCAACATGCCCTTGGATAAATCCAGAAAGCTCAAAATGAATCCGAGGCATTCTCCAGAAACAGTGGTATTGACCAGATTTTTAGCCAACTGGCGCCGCATGATGGCGCTAGCAGAGCGTATTACACATAAAGCGCTCTACTAGCGCCATCATACGGCATCAGATGGCAAATAACTGAGTCAATACCAATGCCCTTCTCCAAGGCCAATGATTCCGTGTTGATATGAAAATGGCCCATTTGAGCGTCATATATGCTAAGCCTTACGCACGCTAATCTACTGCATAAAGGCTACAATTTTGGAACACGTTCGGAAAGAGGACAAGGCCTCCACTCTAGCACATACTTAACGCCTAATGACATCTGATACAAAGACCCCAAATACATTAACGAGTAGATGTGCATCAGGAACGGATTTTCCTACTAGTTCAGCATTGTGATACGTTTGTAGATTGTTATATGCAGTTACTCTGCTCATGCATGGATCCCAGGTCAAAGACGCCAAGACCAAAATCAGGCATGTCTCAGAACCCTTGATATTTATTCTATATCTAGGTACTACTAGCAACAAAACGTTGCTTGCTTTCTACGTTGATGAATTGGCACTTAAGTCATGATCGCAACCTTGCAGTACTTTAAAGTTTAAAGCTATTACGACTTTGCAGTACTTTAACCCCCAACAGAATTTTGCAGTGATTTAACGCCTGCTTTGTCCTTGAATTGCTATTGATGTCGACATTTCTGGCGAACCTCACAAAGTTTTGATGTTTCTATTTTGATTTTGAATATTTTCTGGTTTGGGACATTGGATAGTTGACAATATTTGTAAGGACTAATGTATTTAATTCTAAAGACGAATATCTTTTACCAAGAATATTAGAAAAGGTATGTATCAGTATGTGAGATGTGCATCTTGTTCAATATTGATGTTAGGTTCTGACTGGTGAAGGCACTGCTCCATGGATCCCCAGTTCACATCATTTTTAGCAGCTGCAGTAAAAGGGGCTTAGGTAAGCATGAAATTCATTGGTCTTCTTACTTCTTATATTCTTAAATATGACCTGAATCTGGTTCTAAAATACAAACTGTGAAGCAAAGTAAAATGATCATGGCATGAGTTTTTTACTTTGCAACACAAATATGCCCAATTGGAAAGAAAATATTTTCTTCTTGCTATACCTACGACTGTATACAATATTCATAATGGATTTAGGGAACGGGTCCATCTGGTTCCAACGCTGACTTAGCCCTATTCCTGGCGGGCTCCGCCGGGACAAGAAACTGGCGGGGGGGGGGGCCGATTCGGCCCCCCCTGAGATCTCGAGAACGAAGCAAGATAGCGACAAGCGGTAAACGGCATCGGATACGCACGGCCAAGATCTACAATTTTTACTAAGGTCATTTTCAGGTCAGGTCAAAGATGACGTCACAGGGGTCGAAAAAGTCAAAATGGCGGCGCTAGATATGGAGAGAGTTTTTCTCGAATAACTTTCGAATTAGTCAAGATAGGAACAAACTAAGGGCATCATCGTGATCCTCTCGTCAATCCGCATCGAATGATATATATGTTGACCTCGAAAGGTCAAGGTCAAAGGTTGACCTCAGGTCACGTGACCTCGAGGTCATCATGTATATCATTCGATGCGTCTTGACGAGCTGAACACAATGAGACCATCCACGCGTCTGTATCTTGTTCCTGTACGGAGTTATTGGCCAAAAACCTTTGGTGACCTTTGATGACGTCACATGACCTCACAGCTGCCCAACAGCAAAACAGACCTCAAGGTAGTGAAGGTTGATCGTATATGAAGTCATGTATGGTATATGGGGCCATTCCGACCCGTTTTAGTGGTAAAAACAGGGAGTTGATTTTTCCCCCATTGACTTATAATGGGGAGGTCGCGAAATTGACCTGACCTTAGGTCACCGATATCAAAATTCCGAGATATACAAATTGCACATACTGGTACCCTAACTAAACCCTGAAGAGAAGAAATTGATCGGTCAAAAACTCTAGCTCTGGCGTGATTGCAAACTTTTCTGAGGTAGGGTCACCAAACCGCCTCTGGTGACCTGACCTGAGGTCAGATCAACTCAAAATTTTCAGACATGTTGCGTAGAAGCCTTTTAGGAAAAGTCAGAAAATTTGAGCTTCCTAGCTCAACGCGTTTGGGAGAAATAACCAAAAAACCTCAGGGGGGGCTCCTGAGGCCCCCCCCCCCCCCCGCCAGGAATAGGGTTAGACCGGGTCTGACCGGTTCCAGAAATTTGCCAGTCAGACCGGGTCCGGGTCCGGTTCCCAAAATTTTCCAGTTTTGCCACCTCTAATCTGCGCGTGTGCCTGTCGTGTGTGCGCGACATCTGGTGGCACTACGCGACCCGTAGTTATCCCCCGGCGCACCTAGGTGGCACTACCTGCCCCGTGATGAGGCACGACCTGGCGCTGGCGGAGGTGGGAGATGGCGCAACTTCCCGTTAATATAATTTGCACGGTTCCATCGTGAAATGACCATTGTTACGGCAATCGTACGATTTTATAAAAATAACGTTTTGGAATCAGCTCACCGTCAGCTTTCGAATGGTGTATTTTGTTTCTTTTGCGGATGAAATGACTTTCCGACGAACCGTGTTTGGAGTTCCTCGTGTTCCATAAGGATGATGAATGATGTGGCGAATAGTTTGTAAGCCACGGTAGGGAGAGTGTCGGCTGCACTGGTGATCCGACCTGGTTGCGCAACAGCAGCTCACCAAGGTGAGTATGTTGGTGTCTGAGCTGAGCTGACGGCACGGCCGGCTCGCCGACAGGCGCCGACGAGAGCGGCTCGGAGGTGGACACGCCCGGCGTGGGCGGCACTCCGCGCGGCACCAACACACCGCTGTCGGCCAGCCTGCACGGCAGCCGCTTCTTCGGTCCCGACTTCTGCACGGACAAAGTCAAAGGTGGGTGACGTCCCCGTCCGGCCGGCTGGCAGTGACGTCAGACACGGCCAGCGTGCCCGTCCAACGGGCAGTTTCGACCCTTGATCTGACCTTGACCTTTCCTGTGACCTACTGGAAACATGTGTTTGTTGATAATTTTATTGCGATTGAGCCTGTCCCAATAAAAATGGTAAAATTGACCTTATGCTCATAATATCGGATAAATTAATTGAAAAAAGTCCAAAATATATTTTCGAACTTGGTTCTTCTTCGGTGGAATCACAAATGGCGAGAGAGCGGCAATTACAATAAAATTCAAACTGCTAAAAACACACATCAATTCACTACGCATCTTCCTACATACAAAATGTCAGCGAAGCCTACATCACATTCATATGATAATATATATATGATATGATAACACATGGTTTCCCGTGTGTAAATGGTTTTCACTCACGACGTGGATGGATTGGAGCACGGGTGTGTTAATGCACGAGTGAAAAGAGTGCATATCTCTCTCTCTCTCTCTCTCTCTCTCTCTCTCTCTCTCTCTCTCTCTCTCTCTCTCTCTCTCTCTCTCTCTCTCTCTCTCTCTCTCTCTCTCTCTCTCTCTCTCTCTCTCTCTCTCTCTCTCTCTCTCTCTCTCTCTCTCTCTCTCTCTCTCTCTCTCTCTCCTCTCTCTCTCTCTCTCTCTCTCTCTCTCTCTCTCTCTCTCTCTCTCTCTCTCTCTCTCTCTCTCTCTCTCTCTCTCTCTCTCTCTCTCTCTCTCTCTCTCTCTCTCTCTCTCTCTCTCTCTCTCTCTCTCTCTCTCTCTCTCTCTCTCTCTCTCTCTCTCTCTCTCTCTCTCTCTCTCTCTCTCTCTCTCTCTCCTCTCTCTCTCTCTCTCTCTCTCTCTCTCTCTCTCTCTCTCTCTCTCTCTCTCTCTCTCTCTCTCTCTCTCTCTCTCTCTCTCTCTCTCTCTCTCTCTCTCTCTCTCTCTCTCTCTCTCTCTCTCTCTCTCTCTCTCTCTCTCTCTCTCTCTCTCTCTCTCTCTCTCTCTCTCTCTCTCTCTCTCTCTCTCTCTCTCTCTCTCTCTCTCTCTCTCTCTCTCTCTCTCTCTCTCTCTCTCTCTCTCTCTCTCTCTCTCTCTCTCTCTCTCTCTCTTATATCGGAAGCTCCATAAAAGCTCACGACAAAAACTCCTAGCCCCTAGGCAGGTGTCGATCCCTTCGACTTCTGGGTCATTAACCTGACTCTGAATGTCAGCGTATGACCTATGGTCAATGAATGACCTATGATCTAAAAATTGGGTATCATAAGCTTCCTCTCGTTACGTGCAACGTACTCATTCTTTTCAAGAAGTTTGATCAGAAGCCGATCAACTGTGGGGTCTGATCCACCCCCGCGAAAACGCCGATATGTTTGCGAGTTTTGGCATATTCCTATATTTTTCATGCTATGTTTTGCTTTTTAGCGGTTCACATCGATTTTGTTCTAAAAATAACGCAAACAGCTTACCGTGATGTGACTTAAATGTTTACGCCTAGTTTCCTCTTAAAAATGATGTAATTTGAAATTTCATTCATACAACGTATGAATCAGTTTTCACTTTCAGTTTTCAGGTCAGTTTTGTGATAAAGTTTTGGAAATATAGTGCAGCAGAAAACAAAACTTTGGTGTGAAACGACCTCCAGCCTCAGCAGGTCACGGTTAAATGACAGAACTGTTTCCAAGAAATAACATTACAATTGTTTCCCGGCTTCAATGGTTACCGGCTAAAACTTTGGACGACTACCTATGGATCGGCACGCTGTCGGCTCACCCCGCCCGCTGGCTACGGGTGGCCTTGACCGTTCAATGCCGATTGGCCAACGGCCGAGGTCGTGCGCTGATCAGCACGCAGAGAGGACGGGACGCGGTACGGGGACCCGCAGATGCTACTGTACACGAACACCAACTATAGCCGTCTGTCCTGTCCAGTAACAACCGACAACATTGATATCGACTGCCGGTCCCTGTACAAGAGCAGCTGAGGTTTTCTGTGTGTGCTCTCTGACAGCTTACCGTTGTTCCCTGTGAGGGTGCTGGGACAATTTACTCAGGGTCGCTGTACAGTAGCAACTGCGGGTCCCCGTACTGCACATTGTGAGTGACCTCTGACCTTTCCCCGTCCCTTGACCGCGTGCCGTGTCGCCGGCCCAGACGATAGAAACTGGTTCTAGCCTCTTCGGAGGCTGCCACTCTAACTCTCCCCTCCCCACTTTACTATGTGCCGTAGAACACGCTCGCAAGTAACTGGGCGGAGCAAATGGTCACCGATACAGAGGCGGAACTGGTTGCCCTCCCGCTCGCCGATCCACCTACCGCTAAAACCCGCGAGGCCTGTACATAGTATGTACGGTTCTCCAGGGTATTAGTCGTTGGTCTCTTGGCGAGCGGGAGGGCAACCAGTTCCGCCCCTGTATCGCGTGACCCCTTGCTCCGCCCAGTTACGCACGAGCGTACTCCACGCCGCGTAGTAGCGTGGGGAGGGGAGGGTTAGGATGGTGGCATGTGTAGAGGCTAGAACCGGTTTCCACCGCCATGCCACCGCCCAGCGACATGGAGCGGGGTCAGTGACCAGGGCCCTGTTTCACCGGTGATAGCAGCAAGCTGCTATCACGTTTCGCGAGCTGACGTCATGTCCTGACGCCATACTGTTGTCGTAATGGGTAGTTCCGGCGCACGATTGCCGCGACCTTGGCGGCGGCATTAAGTGACGTATGAGCCTAAAAGTAAGAGTTTACGCAGTCATGATAGTATATATATTTTTCAAATATATTTTTTCAATATGATGTATTTAAAAGAAGTTGGGTTTAGGAAAAATTTTGACATTAACTTCGAACATTTAGCTGATGACGTAAAACAATATTGCGGCAATCGTGCGCCAGAATTGCCCCTTACGTCAGCAGTATGACGTCATCACATTACGTCAGCTCGCGCAATTTGATAGTAGCTTGCTGCTATCACCGGTGAAACAGGGCCCAGGGCGCAGGGAAAGGTCAGAGGTCAGCTATAACGTAGAGCTTTGTGTCTCCCTCCCCTCCTTTTAAAGGTAGTGTGCCAGCTTTCTTGGGCCATATGGAGTTAATGACCCGGATAAGGAGAACCGGATTTTTAGAACTTATCCATACCTTCAAAACTCATGGAAACGTCTTAAATTCTTCAAATTTTGAGTACCTCAGTGCGAAATTCGCCCCAACGGGTTGTCGGTCGTACCCCAACCACATTTCACACCACTATGAACAATAAATGCACACACTGAAATCGCTATTACTGATAGGCTCATCCAATCAAGTTTCGATAAACCCGTTCATCATCATCTCCTGCGGTTTCGAACACGCCTGTTCGGTGGCTTCTGATGTTCGTCGAAGTCGGAATTTCCAAATACGCGTGGTGCGTCTGGCCGCGCGCTCTGACTTCGGCCAAGAAAAATGCGTCAGCTGATCATTGTCATTTCTGCCACTTGCGTGTGGTGAAATGGGGTCATAACTTAACCCGCGCCCCGCTGGGGGGGGGGGCAGAATCTGCCCCCCCTCCCGTTTTTCGTCAATAACTTCTAAACGCGTTACGCCAGCGACGTCAAACTTTCAGTACCTTATCATACATCAATTTGACACGTTCCCTGAAAATTTCAGCAAAATCCGTCGGAAAATTTTTGAGAAATTGACGTTTTTGTGACGTCATGTTCGCCATTTTCGCCTCAAAAACGGCAAAATTTCAAACGCCGCTAACATCTTCATTTTTAAAGGAATCAAGACGTAACAAAAAAGGTTATACGTGATTCTACTTTGTCTATCAAATGGCTATCTCGGTTTTTTGAAAATTTTGGATTTTGACCCAATTTTTTCAAAAAACTGACTTTTTTGGGAAAATTATTATAAAATCCAAAATTTTGAGTGTATCGAAAAAACCGGAATATATGTCAGAGAAGTAGTCTATGTGCACGTATATACCAATTTTTAGAAGAATCGGTTCAAAAATGTGGGAGTTATTCAAAATTTTATGACGTCATGACACACAAAAATTTTGAAAAATGATTTTTTTGGAAGTTCTAGACCTCGTACGGAAACAAAAATAGCACCATTCGATTCGCCGTGAAAAACTGCATCAGATAGACACCTTTTTAGGCCTTAACAACCAACTTCAAAATTTGACCTCACTTGACCTGACCTTGACCTGACCTCGACCTGAAATTCATCCAGAGGTGGTCCATATCACTTATTGAGTGTGCCTTTTGAATTATATGAGTAAAATGACCCATAAAACATGTGTCGCACATGCCCTTTTCTATATTTTGTTTTTGGTGACCTGACCTGACCTGACCTGACCTTGACCTTGACCTTTGAATGACATTGTATGCAACGAATATTGTCTTGGTAGTCTAAGAACACGTTTTGGGCAATCAGTCTCAGTCCATTCTCCGGCAACTACGGTGCAAGGCCGATACTGTAGAAACTTACATTTTGTACCCTTGACCTGACCTTGACCTGACCTCTGACCTACCTAAGCAAAAAAAAATGGGCTCTTTAGATCCGCCTTGTTGAGAGCTTTCGATTGCCGTTTTCCGCGTCTTTCTACGACCATCGGTTCGGAAGTTAGACAGGGGGGGCAGAATCTGCCCCCCCCCCCAGCAGGGCGCGTATGGCTGAATAGCCCAGCGGGGCGCGGGTTAAGAGACGGCTGTTTCAAATCAATTATTTTACATAAAATCATATTTCAAACCATAAATTATTGTTCGACAGCCAAATTAAAGAAACAATACCAATTCGATACAGGCTTATACAATTTCGATACAGGCTTACAGTTTAAGTTCGACATTGTGTTGTCTACGATTAGACAGCTGATAACTCATTCCCGTACGTCGTAACTCTATAATGACCTTTGCTTATTGTCACATGTGCGCCGCATTCGCGATTGTTGCCGACGCCTGTTTGCAGGTCAGCCCACTACAGTTGTTATACATATCGAAAAACCGATAAACTTTTAGGCAAAAAAAGGCA